TAAAAATTCATGTTATTTGTTAATAAATATGTTTAAAAGAATAATTTGGCTATAATTCTTCTCCCCTAAAACCTAACTATATATATCAAAATTAAGGCGGCACTCTAAAACATATTGGTAGAGTGGCTTGGCACACTACAGTTAAAAGCTTGCCGACCCCTGGTCTAGACCACCCATACATTTTGTATGAAATATACGCTTTTTGATATATGTAAACCAGTATTTTATCTTTTTTCATGGTATTTTCTATTCAAACTGCGTTGTTTATATTCTTTGCTATGTGTTCTAACATGAATGTTAGTATTTTCATGACGAGAGTTCCTTGAAAACCTACCAAACTTATTGGTAATCGCAAACACTGAAAATCGGATGAGTAATGCACACATTCATTTCAAAGGCGCAGAAAGGAATAAATATTGTTTTTCATTGATTTAAAACAGAAAAATTAACAAAAAAAGCAACGTTTTTTTTATATTTCTTGATTTTTTTATATAATCGTTAATACAAAAGACACCAAAAACTCATTTATCCAATATAAATGCATGTAAAATGAATGGTGGTCCAGCCAGATCTTTCCGACCGTTCGAAGGTGAAAAAATATCCGACCGACGGAGGGTTAAATCTATTGTATAGATAGATTCCAAGCAATAAAAAAATTAACTCTAATCTAGGTTCTGTTGACTATTTATTTCCTCCAGCTTATCATAAAAATAAAAATAAAATGTCCGTACAAATAAAATCATTATACAATTATGTTGAAATAAACAACTCCGTATTCAATTGAAATTCACTTTATTCAATTGAAAAACATGTTTATATGTATTATATATAGGGGAAATACGGACAAAATGATATATATGGAGAAAATAGCACAGTGGCCTTATTTAAACAATTGGCTAGTTTTAACGTTTCCGAGACTGTATAACATGAAAAAATATAATAAATAATATAATAACAATACTGTCAGATATTGAGCGTCATTGTCACAGTCTTGTCGCAGTAATCAGTTTAAACGTGTTTTGTGCCTTGAAATGTTTATATTGAGGGTGGTTTGCTAATGTTTCTTGGGGCCATTTATTGATATTCATAATTAGGCAAGAATTGCAGGGCTAAGAAAAAAAACTTGTCAAAGATGATTGGCTTGCTTCTAGTTCCAATAAGCAAGAAATAATTGCTAAAAGCTCTTTTGAAGGATCGGATAAGATGTATAACTGCACCCTTTGGGTTTATGCTTAATGTGCCTAAGTCCCAAAGAGGAAGAAAAGATTTATTCGTGAACTACTTTTCTAATTTAGCATAGTAACATCTCAATATATTCTTACCCTATATGTTATTTTGGTTTTTGTAATAGGTTGTATTTTTTCTTAATAAATATGTTATTCTAGTTCCTGCTTGAACTCGGTTAAGAGCGACGGGACTTGTTTCAGAGGTCCCGGATTCGATACCCACTTCGAGCAGCCTGTTGTCAGACAGCAGTGACAACGATTTTCACTTGAAAATATAGATAGCAATATTATATGTTTCCAAGTGAAAATAGTCCTTGCTCGGCATTGCTACACCAATAAAATGTCAGCGCTATTATATTAATTCTAATAACAAAATCATCAAATATGGATGGATTAACCATTGGGTTACCATCTAAAATAAATAACGAAGTAAGGAGAACTTTCAGCCCAATAGCTCATAGGACGTAAGATTCTGATTGCTGTTCAAAAATATAAAAAAAAACTAGTTCCCGCTTAATAAAACTAAAATGAGTAAAAACGACTAAGGCTGGTTATAATAATATTACATAAATAGATACCAATAAAAAAACATGCCATTTTGCCTGTACTTCCCCTATATATATATATATATATATATATATATATATATATATATATATCACACTTTATTTACTTTTAAATAATGCGAATAATGAAGAAAATATTAAAATAGACAAATTAAGATGACTCACGTAGTATAAATTGTCTTTGAAGCTGTCATATAATGCAGGGTTTAGCAAACGGACAAATTCTTGTAAACATAATTCAATAATAAGAATTTGGATAAAACTAATTCGGATAAAATTGATTTTTAGCATCAAAAATTAATTTATATATTTAATATGTTTAATATTATATTTTGAAAGTCTAGGTAAAGGATGAAAAATTATAATTAGAATTGACAGACCGGAATTAGAAAAGGTCATTGTTGTGTATAAATTGAATATTCAAGGAATAAAAAATGTACATGAAGTTTATATTTCATATGAAAAACTAAACGAAAATGTGTTTAACATTACTCATAAAATCTAGTTCATATGAGCACTCTTCAATCTAAGATCAAGTTGTTAAATATTTCATATCCAATGCCAAACAAATGAATTTTTGACACGTGAAACAAAATTCTAAATCATATTTTTTTAAAAATAGAAATATTTTTTTGTATTGTGAAATAATTTAGTAAAGTAAACAAAAATGCGACATGCATAAGTTTAAAAAAAGAATGAATATGCAAAATGGACTTATTGCGTTATTTATTAAACTGAATTATATAACTTCATCTGCCAAGCATATACTGTTGATTGCATCTCATATTATTTTAATTTCTGGCACATCTCAGCTGCTTTTCGGGAATAATAATGTTGACTTTACATTTTACTTTTGTATTATATTCTAATATTATTATCTACTAGACTCATAATTTCAGCTAAATTCAAATTTCAAGTGAATTGACATTTCTAGCTGACAGTTCAAATATTTTCACTGTCAAACAATGATAAGTGGTTTTTTGTAATTTTTGCCATTCATTTCTACAATATTACTATAGTTTTATCGTTCATTAAATCTTGAAAATTTCCTTTGACAAACTCTAAAAAGAATTATCAAAATCCGAATAACCGTTTAGGAGATGTGATTAATGTGTGAAGATTAATGTGTGTGCGTGTTGCGTATATTTGTTTTTCTATCTGATAGGTGTTTTATTGCACTTATCCGCTTTGAAAAAGATATTTTTGTATCTAACTTCATTAGAATTGTAATTAATAATTAATAAGAGCTTATAAAACTCTGTGAGTGTATATAACAGTATCCTAAACATAGTTTTCATTTCAATTACTAATATTTTTTAATTTTAATTCAATAACTGGGAACTTATCATAAGTCTTATTTAGGGTTCCATTTTACAAATGTATCACAAACGATGTGTAACCAATACTTGAAAAAATCCTTTAATATTCTGAGAAGTAATTCAATTCTATAAAATACTATAAATATTTTAATCGAGAATTGCACAACACTTTCTTTTTTGAAGATTGAGTTCTAAATATTGTTATCTACACCGCAATTGCTAATTCCATGACTCAACGAATAACACTTTCAAGTTATTCAAAACTGCACTAGAAATAATAGGCCATGATAGTGATAGAAAAAATAATAGTAGATATAGCAACGCAATAGTTATAATTTTTCTATTAAAAAATAAGTGATGCATTCCACATTTTTAATTAACCTTCATTGTGTTAAGTTACAGTAATTGCCAAAATGAAAGTTTTTGTATATCTTTACATTTTAAGAGGTCTGAATATTTTGTAAGAAGTGTGCGTGTGCGAGTACATTTTTTCGTCGAAGATTTTGAGAACACGGATCGACCAATTTAAAGATATTTAAATACTGATAAGATACTGTGCAAAATATACCAAAAATGGTAATTCAGTTCTTGAGAGAATGGAGCATCCGGCGATATCAATCATACAAAAAACGATTTACTTGTATGGACAAAATGAAAAACCGATCAAATTTTATTGAGTTATAGTAATCGCAAAAAAAATCTAAAACGAAAATTTTCATATATCTTTACGTTTCAGAGGTTTCTGAATATTTTGGCATACCTAAGGAAAAATGGATGTATGTGTGTGTTTGCGTGTATGTTTGTATGTGCGGATACAAATTTTCGTCGACGATTTCGGAAACACCGATCAACCGATTTGAATAATTCAGAAAACATTCGATTCGTTTTGATAAGGAAACGTACTGATTAGTTTTTGGCGAAGGCAGGTCTAGCAGTTCCGAAGATACGGGGCAAAAAGTGCCAAAAATTGTAACTCAGTTTTTAAGAGAACGGAGCGTCCGATTTGAATAATTCAAAAAACATTTTACTTGTATTGACAAGATGAAGAATTGATCAAATTTTCATAGAGGCAGGTCTAGCGGTTTCTGAGTCTAATGAATGCCATTTGGCGGTCAAAAATGATCATTAGACATATGCACATCAAATTATCAGATATTTTATAGAGATTTTAACAATAAGTATAATTTTTTTTACATTTCTATCGGTTCCGTACCAATGCTTATCCGTTAGACGGCGGCGCGGCACTTACGCGCTTTGACATTTCGTCTCTATGCAGTTCAAGCAGTACGATTGCTTTAAAAAAAAGTTCAGAATTTCCAAAATAGGTCAAAATGAAGAAAACATTTTTATTTTCAAAAAAAAAATTGTTTTCAAAAAAAAAATATTTTTTTCAAGAAAAGGTAATTTTTTGTCAAATATATAGTTTCTCAAAAATCTAATTTTTTCGAAGTAAATTTTTTTCAAAAATGTTAATCGTTTTTAAAAAAAATAACAATTTTTGGTACGGGAAGTTCCAGCAATTTGCTTTAAGGCACGATGCCATGCGCCCCACTAGTTTTTTCCAAATTTAGTCTCGTTATATTCAGATTGTATTAAAACGTCGAAAAACATAAAACTAGCAAAACAAATTTTCTGATGAAAACCTACACTTCTTCAGAAAGTTAAAAAAGAGAAAACGCTTAGCAAATTATTTTATAATTATAATACTATATATAAGTAAGTGTGTATCATTATAACACACATTGGAAAAGATTTAGAGCGCGACCTGTTGCAGCCAATCTTAAAATCTCGTATTAGTCACTAACATTTACGCAATTCGCCAACAAAACAAAACAAAACAATACCATGACAATTTACCAAGACATTATAAAAATGTGATTTCTCCTCACCTGTCCTTCTCGAGCTTCCTCTATTCGAACTCCGACTGAGGCTGCCCCCTCCGCCGTATCTTTTGGCATCGCAGATTTGATTCAAAGTCACCGCACAGATCACAAAACAAATCAAGGACACTTTCAGATGCATTTTGTTATTAACTCAACTATAGGTAATTAATAAGAAATAATATCAAACTTTAACAATATCTGTTCCTCACTAGTTTCAATAAAATAATTATTTATTCCGCTGTCAGTTCTGTCATATTAAGACGATGCGTAACACACGGCTCGTAAGCGTACACTGATGTGTATGAAACAGACGCGTGATATTTAAAACTACATGCGGTGAACATCGTTATTATATCGATCGATTCTCAAACGGCGTAGTATTCGAGACATCGAGATGTCAAAATAGAATAATTGCTGGATGTTTTTGAATAACTAAACGCCTTCTACGAATGCTTTATCTGATGATGATTTCCAAATAATAAAACATTTTGCCCAAAATATTTTATTATTTAACTGTAAATTAAAAATATTTTTATCGATAGGAATTTCTCAACGGATTATTTTACCCGTCAATACAAACGGCGCTGATCACTTGTATAACTAGTGGTGTATGGCATCGTGCCTTAAGGCAAATTGCTGGAACTTCTTGTACCGTAAAGAAATGTTCGAGAAATATTAAATGTTTTCAAATAAATTATTATAAATATTGTAACATTGTCTAATATTTATAAAAATTATATAAACTGAATTGCAAAGTTGCAATTATTTGTTTAAAGTATATTAGAACTTTAGTCAGAATTCAAATTATTTTCGGCATACAAAAAATATTTAAAAAAAAATTTTAAACAATTTTTTTTGAATTATTCAAATCGGACGCTTAGTTCTCTCAAAAACTGCCATTTTTTCACATTTAGCTCTGTATCTTTGAAATTTGCCATTGCCAAAAACTATCGCCTCTTCTCCCAATCGGGGGCAAAAAGTGCCAAAAACGGTAACTCACTTTTTAAGAAAACGGAGCGCCCGATTTTAATTTTTCAAAAAACATTTTACTTATATTGACAAGATGAACTGATCAAATTTTCATAAAGGCAGGTCTAGCGGTTTCGGAGATCTAATGAAAAAAGTAAAAAAAAAATGCCATTTGGCGGTCAAAAATGATCATTAGACATATGCACATCAAATTATCAGATATTTTATAAAGATTTTAACAATAAAATTTTTTCTACATTTCTACTGGTTCCGTACCAATGCTTATCCGTTAGACGGCGGCGCGGCACTTATACGCGCTTTGACATTTTCTCTCTATGCAGTTCAAGCAGTACGATTGCTTTGAAAAAAAGTTCAGAGTTTCTAAAATATGTCAAGATGAAGAAAACTTTTTTTTTCAGAAAATTTTTTTGTTCTCAATAAAATTTTTTTTTCAAAAAAAAGTTTTTGTCAAATTTATAGTTTCTCAAAAATCTAATTTGTTCGGAGTAAAATTTTTTCAAAAATGTTAATCATTTTTAAAAATATAATATTTTTTGGTACGGAAAGTTCCAGCAATTTGCCTTAAGGCACGATGCCATACGCCCCACTAGTTCGATCATTCAAATCGAGTACTCCGTTCTCTCAAAAACGCTACTTGCATTTTCTGCACTCTTTGCTCCGTATGTCCGTAACGGCCAGACCTGCCTTTGCCAGAAACTAATCAGCACATCTCCCTATCAATAGGAATCGAATGTTTTTTAAACCATTCAAATTGGTTGATCCGTGCGCCCGAAAACGTGGACGAAAAAATATATTTTTCTGAGGTATGCCAAAATGTTCAAAAACCTTCAAAACGTCGAGAAATGCAAAAATTTTCATTTTTGATTTTTGGCCTATTACTATAACTACCCTACGGAAAGTTAATATTATTTTTATTTTACATATAGTCAAATTTCTGTGAATTACTAAATTTAGCCTTAGCCAGAATTGAAATACCGGTGTATAAAGAAGAGCTGTTAAGACGATGAAGACCTTTGTTCAGTCAAGTAGCCATGACGTATGTAAAGTTTACATTGCAAACTATTTGCGCTTCACATATTTATTGTTATAAATGAAATCAGTAATATAAATCTCAGATGGAGTAAGAAAAAACATGCATAAAGCCCGGTGCACACGACGCCAGATTTCATGCGGGGCACTTTGTTACCTAGCAACGATATGATAAATCATAATTTACGATCTTGCCCGACATATTTTGCGATCTTGCCAGCCAGATTTCACGTTTAAGATCTCTATTCACAACGGCGGTATCCTCATTATAATTTCTGTGTAAAACCGTTGCCTAGCAACGTCGGAATTTGATTCCACAACAACTTCTGTCCTCGAAAATTCTTGCCGTACGAATAGAGAAATGTCCTAATCGGCGATGGATTAACTATTTTGTGGCCGATACCTTCAGTGTCCAACAGGAAAGCTGTATTTTGTCAAGTAAATATCAATGCGTACTTGATTCATGTATTTCGATTTTGGAAGCGTTCAGCAGTTTTTATTTTGTAAATAGCTATTGTGTATAGCGGCATGAAATGATTAGTTTAGGAAACGCAGTTTAATAATTTTAAAATATTCAAATTTCCGAAAAAATTTCAAAATTTCCAAAAAATTAAAAAAAAAATTCAAATCGTTTTATTTCAAAAATTTCGAAATTTAGAAAAATACTCAAAATTAAAAAAAAAAACAAAAATTGCGAACCTTTTTAATATTTTTATATCAGTATTAATTATCCGATAAAGATACTGATTTTTAAAATCAATAATTGTTATATCAAACTGAAGCATTTTATTATCTTTTAATTATTATTATTTACTTAATCCTAATCAGATGCGATATATATATATATATATATATATATATATATATATGTTTTTGTTTACAATTCATACAATTCTCTGTTTGAACACTTACATATAACATATGAATTGTGAAATTCACAGTATATATTTATAATAATCTATTTGAAAATGCACGAAATTACTATTACTCATAAAATAAGTGAAAATCTGGCGCAAAATTCTTGCTCACCTTACGACAGAAATCCTGTTACAAGGAATACTGGCGTCGTGTGCACGAGGCTTAACAGAGAACTATTATTTTAGCTTGTCATTAGTTGGTTGGAACTGAACGAAAGAAATGTCAATAATGCATTCACCGGAACTAAATGATTAGTTGCCAGTTAAAGAAACATTGCGAGCTAAAAAAATTGACTGTAAGCAAAATCTATAAAGGCAAAATATTTACTTAACACGTTGAGCGCCATAATTGCTGCCCTTTCTGTATGTAAAAATTTTCATTTTCGATTACGACCCATTACGGGAAGTTAAAAAAAACACAAAAAGAGAAAGAACAACTTTTGGGTTGCTTTCTAATAATACTAGGATATATTAAATACATAACAATAGCCCATAAAACATAAAGAATGTTTTGATCTCTCATAAAATATAAAAAAACTTGTTATTGCAAGCATTAGTAAGAGAATGAATGAAAATATTTTTATACGTACGAAAATATTTTTTATATGTATATAATATTAAAATTTACACTGATATGGAATAGAATGCATTATAATAAATAGTTCAAATAATATTAGTTCATGCAATCATTCCAATAACAAATTGCGAAAACATTTTAAAGATTACGGGATTTTCAGTATTGAAAACTTTGCGAAAATAAAGTATTGCATAAGATAAGATTAAACATAATTAATATCAAAAAAAATATTGCACGAAAATATTCATTAATATACTTACTGTTGTACTTGGATTTTTATTATTATATACTATAGTAATTTTTGCACCTGCCCTGAAGTGAATAGATGTAGGAAACTGTAGGAAAAGATGACTAAAAATACAAAAACTTCTTCATCAGAGATTTTGAAAATTGACATATTTTAATGTAACATATTTTTTTTAACTTCCCGTAGAGTAAGTCAAAAAATCGAAAATTAAAATTATTGCATATCTTTACGTTTTAAGACCTCCTGAACATTTTAGCATGCATCAGAAAAAATGAATGTGTGTAGAATGTGGTTTGTTTGAATAAAATTTTTCGTCAACAATTTTAATATGATTGTAGATTTAATATATTTTGAGCTTTGAAGACAATCGTGATTACAACTTACTCTTGAAAAATATTCTGTCATTCATCTAAATTATTCATGCTTCACAACTCTGCTTTATTCATTTACTCTATTTAAAACATAAAAATTCTCTTCGTTTAAAACAAATTAGTGTATTATAAATAATAGTGCAAAATTATGTACTTTGCGCACATAATTTAGCTAGCTTTTCTACTAATGCAAGACATTATATCCACATCCACTGGTGATGACATAAAATATGTCGAAATGTATGGAAAAATTAAAGATTAATTTTTTAATTAATTGTAAGGATGTTGAAATTTTTGAAAACATTGGTCTTTTAAGAAAAATTTGATTATTTTGATATTTTGATTTTTTTTTTGAAAATTTTGAATTTTTTTCTTAGCAATCATAGCAGTTTAAAAACAAAATTGTAAAGCGCGTAAGCGCCGCGTTGCAGTATACAGATTAAATATTATAAATCTTGATGAGCAATCCATTGAAATGTAAACAAAATTTGTACTGATTATTAAAACATTAGATATTTGTTGAACACGAGTCTAAAACATTTGAAATTTGTTGCACACGAGTCTGATGATCATTCTTGACCGCCAATTTACATTCTTCATTAGATCTCCAAAAGACCTGCCTGTGCCAAAAACTGTGCATGTCTCCTTATTAATAGAAACCGAATGTTTTTTGGATCATTCAAATCGGTTGATCCGTGCTATCGAAATGTCGACAGAAATTGTATCCGCACACATGCACACACATTAATACATGCATCCATTTTTTCTAAAGCATGCCAAAATGTTCTGAAACTGAAACCAGTTTTATGTATTATAGTTTGTATATTTTCTATAAAGTTGTTTAAAAATATTTATTATTATCATTTTTTTGTTTTCTGAATTATAAAATAGTGCAATATAGTATTATGTCTATAGTAAGTGCAGCACCTTGCACCTTTAATCAATAATTTAGAAGATATTCTTCACCATTGTTAATAATAATTTCGTATGTATTTTACATGTACACTTTAATAGTTTAATATAGTTTCTGTATTCTAGTGCAAAAAAATATCCTAATAGCGAACAAATGTTTTATCAATGCACTAACAATAATTGATCCCGGGACTATTTTGACATTTCAAACGATTAAACGGATGTTGAGATAATAC